CTGGGTTGTATGCATGCTTTTAGATCAAATGTGTGCATACATTCATGAATAATGCTTCATCCTCTGCATCACCAACTTCCAATTATGCATGTTTCTGTAAATCATTAGTGTTATATATACATTAATGTTACAATAGGAGCCCCCGGTGGTGCAGTGGGTTAAAGCCCTGTGCCGGCAGGACTGAAGACCAACAGGTCGCAGGTTCAAATCCGGGGAGAAGCGGAAGAGCTCCCTCTATCAGCTCCAGCTCCTCATGCGGGGACATGAGAGAAGCCTCCCACAAGGATGATAAAAACATCAATTCATCCAGGCATCCCCTGGGCAACATCCTTGCAGACAGCCAATTCTCTCAAACCAGAAGAGACTTGCAGTTTCTCAAGTCGCTCCTGACACTACAAAAAAAAAAGTTACAATGCATGCAAAATAATTTACAGCAAAGGTAGGTAGCTGAGGTTTTCATAATGTGCAATGCTTTATCTCTTCTAGTTTTTCCCCCACACAAAACTGTTTATATTATAAAAGCAAACAAACACAAAAGTGTCTGACTGACCATGGCATATGGCAGCAGAAATCTACCCCTGAGGTTATAGAAGTTCCAAAGTCCAAAGATGATTGCTTCTGGAAAAGTTATTATACGATATTATTTTTCAGCTGAATGTTCATTGACACTCCATGATTTGGTTGTTATGGACAGGACTATCGCTAGTAAACCTGGCAACAGATAAAAGTCAAATATTTCATAATAGGAAATAGAGACCGTGTGTAACCATAGTATAAACATGCCATACAGAGTTGGAAAACAGGTTAGTAATGCTCAAGGTAATTTTAATTTTTTATTATCCTACAGAGCTATTTATGTTTCCAGAATGAATATGATTACACCATTACAATTTTCTGCAAACAACTGAACTGCATTTTGAAAGTATGTTTGCTCTTATGTCTCCAAATGTTTCTTCTTTTCTTCATTTTATCCTACATAATTATAGCACTATGATTATATAGAATTATAAATAATTATAGCACTAACTGTAGCAACTACTGTATTTATGAAACTGAGGGTTTGTAGTTTGATGAGTCACTAATGCTCTCTGGCTGAGAGAGAAATTTTGGAAGAGTTACTTTCTAGACTACATCTTCTAGAATTCCCAGCCATCTTGAAATAATAGACATGTTGGGAAGAAGACTCTAAGAATTAGGATCTTTCAAAATGCAACATTTTCTAGGATCTCAACAAAAGCAGCAAGGATTGTTGGAGAAATACATACACATAGATTGTGCAAACAATGTTTATTGTCTTAAAGATATACAAAGTGGAGATACAGACAACCTCAACAGGTAATATGAAAGTTTTATTGTTATGTATTTTGCTGAGAAGGATAACTATTTATCACTTCACTGGTGATGATGATGCACTACTATACTGTAGCCAGGCTGTGAAAGAGGTTTTTTTATTCACCATACTGGCTGAGAAAGATTTGGGGCTATATAACTTTTCAAGCTAGATAACACTATCTAAAGCAATTTGATTACTCATCTTAAGGTGAACACCTTAAGACAATCAAATCTACAAAGGTATCAAGTACCCTAAGCTAATTTATTATAGTTAAGACAAGGCACCCGTTTCACTAATATTCAGATAGATTCACTGACTCTCTTCTAGATATTCTGGTTCATAATAAAAATGTCTGATCCACTAACATGCAGATAAAAATATATTGTGGGAAAGATCATTTTTAGAATACTAAGTGCTCTTGAAAGAAAATGTTATTTTTAGTAGGAGCAGTATGAATAGAACGTGTTTGCTTCCTTTAAAATCTTGGCTGTTACATGTACAAAGTGATGTGCTAGACCAAGGTCAGCAGCTACTGAGATGTTCCTAATATTCATTGTTTGATAAATAGAGATCATCCCCATTAAATATTAATTGCTATTTCTTCTTACTCCTTCCATCTACAATAAAATAACCTTGGCACACAGTGATTTCAATGCTTCAAGATGACTTTGTCAATTTTATTTTGTCTCCTGAACGAAGCACAGCCAGGTAGTCCAACCCATATTAAAGTCATGCCATCTTTATATCTATTCCTATCACCAAAATCTGATTCAGAAAATGTCCCAGTTTTCAAGAGCACATGTTTAAGATATGTAGAAGACTGACTAGAAATTAGTCTCCTACTAATTCTGTTGACAAAAGCAGAGCTATCATCAAACAATGGAATTAAATGCACCAAATACAAGCATCCACAAGAGACTGAAGACAGTGTATGGAGATGACACTGTTGATTACAATACTGTTAGTCACTGAGTATGAAGATTAGCTGGTAGAAAAGGGATGCCAATATTCATGATGTTCTCAGAAGCAGCAGACCACACACCACCCAAATACTGCTAATGTGGAGCATGTGAATGACATGGTTAAGACTTATAGACATGAGAAATGCACACAAGGGAACCTGAAAATCTGTTGCTACACCCTCCCTATAGCCCTGATCTGGAACTGCCGGTCTACCATCTATTCGGCAAACTGAAGGACTCCCTGTGTGGGGCAAAATTTGAAGATGATGATTCTCTTGTGGCAGCTGCTAAGCAGTATCTTAAATTAGCTGAACCAGGGTTTTACTATACAAGCACACAGGCCCTAGCTCCAAGGTGGCATAAGGCTGTTGAAAGTGATGGTGATTATGTGGAAAAGTGACATTTTGTTCTTAAAACATGTCTCAGTGTAAGGATATATATATATAGCAAAGATGTAGAATAAAATGTGTGCATTTATTTTGGAATCATCCTCATATATTCAAAGATTCAGTTTGAGTTGGCTTTTGATAAAGATTAATATGACTTTTTGATAAAGTCAGACTTCTTTTCAATTACTCATAGCTTTTAACCATATTAAAAGATCAGACTGCAAAATCTCTGTTGTGTATTCATGGGACGGAAAAGGTTGGTACTCTTTCAATACTTCAATTTCAACTTATTTATTTTGGGGCTGGCTTCGCATCACTATACATCAGTATTTTCCTTTTTTTATTCTTCTTCCTCCAGCTTGAATAGTGCCCTGCAGAAGTTATTACACTGAGTTACTTAGGGGTCCTGTGGATAAACAAGAATCTTCCAAGCCTACTTCCAATTTTATCTTTCCTAATTAGGGAAGATCTGATTCCCAATAGTCCAAGATAAAACTGCACATGGATTAATTTTCAAGAAATCGTTTTAAAAGTTGGTGAACCCTACAGAGAAACAATCAGCTCCTTGAAATGTTGCTCATTTACAGAGTCTGAATTCCTTTCTCTATTGGATTTTCTCAATGTTACTTAAACTGATGTAGGTCCCTTTTGTTCTCGTCAGATAGGTGCAACAGTTAGTTTATAACACTCTAATTGGGCAGATCTCTTCCTTCAATTCAAATGTGTAAGCAGAGATGCACAACTGGATGGATTAAAGAACAAACATGGGTCATGAGATTGCTGGATTATATCATGTGGGTTGCTCCACCAAAACAAAAAAAAAACTAGAACTAAAACAACCTTCTCATTCAGAAACTAGTTGCAGGCGTTTACCAGATATCAGATATTTCTCATTTTAAGGAGATTTTTACTATGGACTATAGGCAGATTTACCCCAAGTTCCTAGTGAACACGTTATACAGTTTTGGAAATGGATGTGCCTTCTTCCTGTTATTGTAAGACAGAGTAAGTACCTGGCTTTACCTACTTTACTTACTTACTGACTTACTTAGGTGATCCCTCGTCCGAGTAAGATTGTCCTCCAAGGTCGGTGTACTGGAGGTGGGTAGGTAGGTGACTGTGAAGCCCTATGCTTGACCTGCATGTTTTCCCACAGTGAGGGCATCAGTTTCCAGGTGGAAAGCGGTCCCGGTCAGGGTTAGCTTGATGTGCCTTCCTCTTGGCACGTTTCTCTCTTTCACCCTCCATTCATACCTCTTCAACTTCTACAGCACTGCTGGTCACAGCTGACCTCCAGCTAGAGCACTCAAGGGCCTTGTCTTCCCAGTTCTCCCTGTCTATGCCAGAGTTTTTAAGGTTGGCTTTGAGCCCATCTTTAAATCTCTATTCCTGTCCTCCAACATTCCATTTTCCATTCTTGAGTTTGGAGTAGAGCAACTGCTTTGGGAGACTGTGGTCGGGCAATCGGGCAACGTGGTTGGTCCAGCTGAATTGATGGCAGAAGACCATCACTTCAATGCTAGTGGTCTTTGCTGCTTCTAGCATGTTGACATTTGTCCACCTGTCTTCCTAAGAGATTTGCAGGATTTTTCGGAGGCAACACCGATGGAATCGTACCTGGAGTTGCATGTAATGTCTGCAGATAGTCCACATTTCACAGGCATATACCAGGGTTGGGAGGACAGTGGCTTTATAAACAAGCACCTTGGTATCTGTGCTTCATTTTGAAGGAGGCTAAATTTGAAAATCCTAAAGTTGAATCAATCTAAAAAAAAACCCTATACTATAGAAGTTAAGACAGCAACCTTTCCCCTTTTCAAAGCAGGCAGATTCAAAGCAGGTGAATGAAATCAGTACTTTGGCAAACTAGGATAAGAATAGAAAACAGGCATTTCCTGCTGTTTGGCAAAGCAAAGGGTCATTTACAACTTACAGAGTGACAGCGGAGCTAGAGACACGTATCACAGAAAACCTGCAGAATAAGGAAAGAGAAACTGGAAGTGGTCAGCAGAATAATGAAGAGGTCAGGCTTAATAGATCACTATGAACCAAAGATTGAGAGGAAACAGAAGTCCCCCTCCCATACTGGAAGGAGTGACACGTAGCTTTTCTGCCTATATGACATTTCATTCACATCTTTATTGCTTAATTTAGGGAATGCAGAACCAGCAAAAGTAGGAAACTTTAATGTATAATCAGGTTTGGGATGTTTGACCTTTTGCCTAATCTCATTCTTCCTCTATTAGGGCATTGCTCTCTTCCTCTTCCTCTCCTTTCCGTTCGTGTTTCTGCCATTGCTGCCAGAAATATCTTTGCCTTTCTCTTTTGCTTCTCTTCTTCCTCTCTCCTTTCCTTTTCTTCTCTAGCCACATATGCCTGGTTAGCTATTTCCATCATTCGAGCCTGAGGTAGTTCTGCAAAACCAGGGACCTTCTGGATCTTCCTGCGTATATCATGAGCCGCTTGAGCAATAAAAGACTGTTTGAGAGCTAAGTTTCCTTGACTCTTTTCATTCTCTTCTTCCATATCATAGGGACTCCATTTACAATAGGCTTCAATCAGTCTTTCAAGAAAGGCACATGGGGATTCATCTCTGCCTTGCTCTACTGTATGTATTCTTTTTAAGGTTAACAGCCTTGGGTGGACCTTTCTTAATTGCTTTAACCAAAATCCCTTGAAAAGTCTTTAATCTATTGTAATGGTCTGTATCATTAGGATTCCATCTAGGGTCTTGAGTTATGGGAAAACGTTCTTGGGCATATAGAAGGGCATCTTGATTACCATGTCCTTCCTGCGCTATAATCATTGCATCAGTTAAAATTCTTCTTCTTTCTTCACCAGTAAAGAGGGAATTTAACAATTGCTTGCAGTCTCCCCAAGTTGGATCATGGGCTTGCATCAGTCCCTCAACAAAGGTGGACATCTCCTGGGGTTTCTCACTATATGGTACCACATGCTGCTTCCAGTTTAAAAGATCAGAACTAGTAAAAGGGACATGCTGATATGCTGTACAAGTAACAATCTCATCTGCATCTAGGTTGTTTCGATTAGGCCCCCTAGGAGCATACTGTATTGTTTGCCTGAGTGGACACAGATGGGCAGTAGCAGCCTTGGCATGGGTGGTTACTGGGGTAGAATCATCTGGGAGTCTAGGATTTCTTCTTTTCTCCCTTTGCTCATCTCTCTGGGTTAAATTCAGTTCTGATTCTTCTTGAGTGACATCTATCATAGTATTTTCTAGAGATGAGCTTCCACTATCTGAGGATCTTCCTGCAGTGGAAGACGCTCCTGAAGTAGATGACCCAGAGGCAGGTGAAGCTGGCAATGGATCTACATCTACCCTTGGTGAGTGGTCTTCTCTTGGTCTTGGGTATAAAGGTACATATGGTGGGGGCTGGGATTCCAGCTCTAATTGTCCTTCTGCAGAATCAGGGTATATGACCTTCTTACTTTCACCATTAAATAGTGCTGTTGGATTGGCAAGTAAGGGCATGCAAGAAGGAGTTTCTTTGCAACATTTTAAAAGCCAAGGAGGTCGGGTTTGCAACACAACACTCCATGCATTTATATAGCAAAGCTGATCTAGATGGTTGGCAGCTACGTAACGAAGGCATTGCCTCACTATTTTCAAATCATAAGTTCCGGTTTCTGGCCATCTGGGATTTAAATTAAATTTTGGCCATTCCACCTGACACAGAAATTGCAATTTCTGGGCATTGTTACATCCTGGCATCTATCGCCTAAACTTAGAGAAATTCTTAACCATACATTCCAATGGGCTTGAGCATTTCTTACTCCCTTTTTGCCCCATTTTAAAGTGTATAAGAAGGCCCACTTCTGAGATGTAAGCACGGGCAGCCACTTTGAGGGAAACACTGTGTTGTTTCTGGCTTGTTCCGTCTCTCCATGGCCATGAAGAAAATAAACGAGATTTGCTTTACCTCTGGAGACTAGACTCTCTTCATTTTGCTGCCCTCTGCGACGGACTCAGCAAGGACCCCAAGCAGGGGGTCCCCTACAATTTGGAAAAATGCTGCACTCACAGAGCTCAGGTGGTGTTGTATATCAGTGTCAATGTTGACTTTTGTGGAGAAGTGGCTGCCAAGGTAGTGGAAATGGTCACCATTTTCTAATGTTACACCATTAAGCTGTATTTCTGGCATTGGAGAGGGATTGGCTGGTTACCGCTCAAAGAGCACTTTGGTTTTCTCGATGTTCAGTGACAGGCCGAGCTTCTTGTATGCTTCTGTGAAGGTGTTTACCTGGATATTAAATCAGTTTTCTGTACCCCTTTCTTGGAGAGAAAAGTTTTCTTTGTTTCTCTTCAGCTTTACAAGCAGCTCAGGAGCTAACAGAACAGCTTTATCTCATAATAGGATTTGGTTTTTCTGGCTCCCTACAGCACCACCCCCACTGTGCCCATGGGTATTTAATTCCTGCAGCTTCAATACTGCCACCTATGCCAGTGTAGTAGTCATACCATCCAACAGTATCTTGACCATTGCCTGTTTCCCCTGTAGTTATTTTTAGGTTTGTGTTGGTTCTTTCTCTTGACAAAATCAGAAACTCCTTCCAGAAAATGCTTTTTCAAGGAGACAAAAAAAGTCTCTGTTAAATTTATGGCACCACCACATGATGGTGCAATACAGTTTTTATTACTGTCAGCATATATATCTCATCAAGAAAGGATAAGTTAAACAAAAAGTATGACACATGGCAAAAGACAATAATTTATTACTGTAATAATTGTGCTTTGCACTTTTATAATAGCTTTCTTTCTTAAGTTCAAGGTAAGATTTGCTTCTTAGTTCTATTTTGTCCAGGATTTCACTTCCACCTTGCCCTTCAGATAACATTGGAAAGGTAACAAGCAATAAATAGTAGAATACCTTTTTCATAAGATATGCCCTTGGCATTTGTTGAGCAGAGATGAGCTATTGCTGAATTCCAACAATGACTAAGCAGAGCTGTCATGAGTAGGCCATAAGCAAGACACGAAGACCATAACTTGTTTTATTCCAGCATCTACTTCAGGGGTTCCCAACTCTCTTTTTTTTTTTACCAGGGCCCACTTTGACCAGGGACCACTTTGACCTGGACCCTCTCCAGCATTCGTACCAAAAGGGACAGGGCTGGTCAGCTCTGCAGAAAGGAGTGGAAATAAAATAAAATAAAGGAGGAGTTTCACGGACCACATTTTTGTTCTGACGGCCCACTGCTGGGCCATGGCTCACAGGTTGAGAGCCACTGATCTACTTGCTCAGTGGCATAAAGCCTCTCACCCTAGAAAAAGTAACTAACCACTTTATCCATTTTAGAGATATGACAACCATAAATGTTCATAAAATTTCAAGTCTGGTCTCACTATAAAGTTTGTGTAAGATATCCCTATTACGAAATTTGTTTATCCTCATCATTTCTTATTAAAAATTAGAAGAAGTCTACATTCAAAGAGGGAGACACAAAAATAAATCAAGAACTTTCATTATCACTCCAGCATAGCATAAATATCCACTTGCAGAATTGCATTAAGCAATCTTTATACTGAATAGAACTATAACATATCCTATGTGGATCAATGGTAAATATATATTGCTGATAATCCATTGGGAAGTTTAATGCACAATGTATAGGAACAATGTGATTTCACATATTATTTTATTGAGTTCTGCATTCTGCTTATTTTACCATCAATTGGATACAACTATGGTGCATCATCCAAAAAGTTAGTCCACGTGATTAGTTAAACTTATATCTGCATACATTGCTAAGAAAATGTCAGCCAATATATGTTAAAGCAGGGAGAATTTGTGTTATAAAATTACAAGACGTCTACCATAGGTTTACAGTCTTTCAGCTAAAAGGTCTACACACATATATAGCCCACATGTACACATGTTTACCCATGCACATGCATACATGGGATTGGTGGGTGGTGAATTAAAGCTTGTTTTGGCTGAGACTTCTGTTTTTTTGCCATGACAATGAGAGAAATAATTTTATTTTTTAAAATAGAAAACTGAATACAGGGAAGAGTGTGTGAGATCCAGCTTTGGTGGCTGCACAAGAATTAGCTCATAGCTACAGGATGGGAACTCTGACTTTCTCTATTCAAAAGGTAGATAAATATCATTGTTGAACCTTTCAACATTGTTTGCTTAGTTAATTCAGGAAACAGTTATGGTTTTGGCGATGGTGAAAATACATTTGAAAGTGGTTTAGTATTCTGAGTTTTTAAATACTGTTTTAAAATACTATTTATAAAAAATCATATAGAGAAAAACAAAGAAAACCTGCAAAATATACAATAAAAATAAAAGTACAGAAACAAGGGGAAGATTTATACATATATGTCAATAAAAAGGAGTAAAATATCCAAATAAATATCCATACCAAGCTTGAATCTATATGCATATATTCAAGTTTGCAACTCTGTAAACTTCAGAATTGCCATCATCTTACAACAATTTGACACTTTTAAAACAGCACAGATAAAAGAAATGAGATTTTTGAAGAGTACCTTAAGAGTCAAAGTAATGTTTCTCTGCCAACAATGTCATGTTCCTAAAGACTGACATACAGCGTTACAGTATTATAGAAATGGATTGGTAGAAACTACTGCACATGTCCTGAAGATAAATGGGCAATATATTGTAAGGCAGATGCTGTGCATCTGCGACAAAACCCTGAGCATTACAGATGATGTGTAATATTAAAACCTTGCTCTGTCAGCAATGGTGAGGCAACAGTAAACTATAGAAATAAGAAAAATGAGGCAAATACAATATTTCAAATATGATGTGGATGTTCATGCTAATAAATGACATGTACAGTCAACCAAAGTTATTTCACATGTGATTTCAACAGTGAACTTTTACTCTGAAAGTGCCCCCATGTGGTCAAATTCAATATTTACCACCTTCTCAAAAGCCCAAAGCTTTAAAAATGTTGGAAAATAAGCCAGTCTTATATGAAACTATGAACAAGACTATTTATAATACATCTTAAATCTCACCCGATGGTCTAGTGGGATAGATCAAAGAAATATTCATTGCACAATAAACAAGTAATGACAAAACACCATTTTTTGTGATTATCATGCTAATAAGAGGGTGTTGTTGTTCATTCGTTCAGTCGTCTCCGACTCTTCGTGACCTCATGGACCAGCCCACGCCAGAGCTTCCTGTCAGCCGTCACCACCCCCAGCTCCCTCAAGGTCAGTCCAGTCACTTCAAGGATGCCATCCATCCATCTTGCCCTTGGTCGGCCCCTCTTCCTTTTGCCTTCCACTTTCCCCAGCATAATTGTCTTCTCTAGGCTTTCCTGTCTCCTCATGATGTGGCCAAAGTACTTCAACTTTGTCTCTAGTATCTTTTCCTCCAGTGAGCAGTCGGGCTTTATTTCCTGGAGGATGGACTGGTTGGATCTTCTCGCAGTCCAAGGCACTCTCAGCACTTTCCTCCAACACCACAGCTCAAAAGCATCAATCTTCCTTCGCTCAGCCTTCCCTAAGGTCCAGCTCTCAC